ACACACCCACCCACACCCCACACACACCCCACACACCCACACCCACACACCCACACCCAGACCCACACCCCACACCCACATCCGCACCCACACCTCACACCCACACCCACACCCTAGAACAAACAAAAATAGATGTCCAACGCAAGAAAACAATGAACATTACATTGAAAAAAGATTTGGATTTTTCATTAATGCTTTCTGCACTGAGCGCGAAAAAACTACATCTTCAACTGTTTCAGGATTTAATGATGATCTTCTTTCATTTACTAAAACTCCTGCAGTGCTGAACTGGCGCTCTATACCACAGAACGTAGTAGATATTGAATACAACCTTTTGGCCAGTTTGGCCAAATGTGGTAAATGAACTTCATGATGCTGACAAAAGGGAAGAGGATTAGGTGTTTTAAATTTTTCGTCTATTGTCATTCTTAGATATTTATCTAATAGATAAATATCTAAGAATGACCATAGATAAATAAAAAATTATCGTGAAAACAGTCGAGTATAATAAACAATTTCTCTGGTGAGGAGATGATAAAGTATCGAGAAAACTACACAAATAACAAATTATGTCTATCAACAGATTATTGGTTCATTTTACTATCCGATTGAAATTCGAGATAAGCGTCTACGATAATAATTTTTTAATAAATTCTAGATTCACTGACATCTATATATTTTCATAAAAGAAAAACCTACTCCGAGCCGGGCGGCCCGAGAAAAATGTTGGCCCGCCCGGCCCGGCCCGAAGAGATGGCTGGGCCGGACGGCCCGTTTGAAGCCCTGTTAGAGATTACCATACAAACATCTAGCTGGACGTCGTCAAATAGAAACATATTTCGGTGAAATTATGTTTTACCTTGTTATTAAGTACTAGTAGTACAACACCAAACAGTACTGATTTTTTCTAATTCATCGGTTTATATTCATCAATAGTAGAAATAGTCATTTAAATATTGATAGGAAACAACGATTGATAAATAAAAACGAAAAACATCCAAAAGAAAAATCGTGTTGGAAAAAATCTCAAAGAAGGAAAGTATCAACAGTTTGATTAAGTAGTTATTAATATGCTCAATCAAAATTTTTCATCCATTTGCAGATGTGGATGTTGTATTTGTTCACCAGTATGCTGTCTTCTTTTGGGCTTGCTATTACTGTTATTAGCAGGTGGTGGAATTGCAGCTGGAGTTGTCATTTCAAAGATGAAAGGTAGAACACGAACAGCAAATACATCGAGCAACACTATAGAAAATCTACGAAACTTCTTAGATTTTATTTGATTTATTTTCATTTAAATAGGATCTTCAACATCAACCGATTCTACTGTTACAACAGTATCGTCTGTCACGAGTAAGGTTCCTTTGTAATTTTTTCTATTATTGATGGATTCATTGCCATAATATGCATAGACACTACTACGGTAGCCACGACAACAACTGTTAATGTGCCATCCTGTAAGTTCACACTGTAATTCAGTGAGAAGGAACAATTATTTTCCACTACAATACGTTGAAATCTGTATGAATTTTGTCATTTTTTTCAAATATAGTATCGTTTTTAAAGTATTTCGATAGTATTTCTCGTAAAAAAATATCGATGCATTCTCAAATAAGAAAGTTGAGATCATATTTGAATTTACATGTAAACATTCTTTTATTTGGATTTAGCTGTTTTGAACAATACATGCACGGCAATAATGACTGGTACGGTCATTACTCTACTTTATCTTTCAAATGTGGCACCATTTCCTTATACATACTATCAATATTCATTTGTTGCCACATCGACTAATACAACAATGATGTTAGCTTTCCGTCAAGATCCGAACTATTGGTGTCTAGATGACGTTTCAGTCGAATACAACGGGGTACAGTTGCGGCAAAATGGTGGTTTTGAAATGAGTCCATTGTCTCAATATTATCTTTATTGTAATCCAAGCGGAGCCACTGCTAGCGGTACCATATCGACAATATGCGCTCATTCAGGCAGCCATAGTTTCTACGATGGTGCAGTAGGATTTTTGGATTATCTCAGTCAATCTTTTACAACAGTAGTCGGTGCAACTTATAACATCAGTTTTTGGTTATCAAACTTGGGTAGCACTCCAAATGCTGCCCTAGTCATCATTGGTTGATAAGACAGTGTTACTAAAATTTAATCTCGACAAAACTTCATTGCCTACGTTATTATTTCAAAATCATATGCACTTTTTTGTATACATTGCTATTAGCATATATAGTTTTAGTTATTTATTTATTCTTACCCATCTTGTCGTATCTCTCTCTGTTCACTTTCATTTAATTTCTATAAATTCATCAGTGCTGCACATGATTCTTTCTTCTCATTTCATTCATGTATTCTACTCTCATTACTGTCATATAGGGTGTGGATGTGGAGTGTCGGTGTGAGTATGGGTGGGTGTGCATGGGAGTCTGAATGTGCGTGAGGGTGTGGATGTGAAGGGTGAGTGTAGGAAAACATAAGATTCATACTCGACACCGACATCAACCATCTCTTCTTAAACTGGACATATTTTATGTGAGAAATGAGATTCAGAGAAGAAATCGAGCAAATAAACTCTTGAAGTTCAACAGAGACACAGTCCAAAGTACAAATGAATGTGACTGTCTATAGATTGTGGCTTTGATTTGATTAAGATGCGAACTTCTGTACGCTGCTTATAATAACAATACAAATATTAACAGCCAAATTCGTCCTTGAAATTATTCAAAGTCGTCATTACGCAGTGAGTCGATGATTGACAATAACAATACTCATGTTTCATATAATGATACGAGCCCATTAAATGCTTATTTCGTAGAAGCAATCTCATATTGCTTTTACGACGTTTTTTTCTTCTATAAAGCTTACTGTTCTGGAGATAAATTAAGTGCTTAAGAAAGTAATGGAGAAATATCGAATTTCTATTTATCGAAAAATGGCACCATGCACTTCTTTACCTTTGGCGAGTGCAAAAAAAATATTGCTTCTTCATGGTATATAAAGAGACTGCTGCCTCTATTCTATTTCATTCCAATTCAAGCGATGGTTTCAACAGTAATTCGTTGCTTCATATTCGTTTTATTCAGGTAATTCTAAAACCTAGTTTTTCCTACTCATCTAATATTGAACAATCTTCTTTTTAAGCCTTACAGGTTTGATTCTTGTTTTGTTTTCCATCTCTTTCTATTAATTTTGTATGTCGGTAGTTCGAGTCCAATCTCAAATATGCCATGGGATATCTGAATATGATCAATGTTCGTCGAATAGTGCATGTGCATGTTTCCATATGGCAGGTGCTAATAACACTGGTATTTGTGGGTTTCAATGGGTGACTTGTTCTGAATTACGTGCATGTGAACACACAACCAACCATTGTCATGAATCTGATCATATATGTATTCGTCATCCTCGATGTCATAATCATCCTGTCTGTTATCCTGTGTCGATGATCGATCAACAAATTTGTCCACCAATAACAAGTAAGAGAACAAGTAGTGATCTACAGATTTAAGTGAAACTTAAATCTTTCTTAAAGCTATTTTTCATCATTCACTTACCCTCACATATGTAATTCATATTGGCGGAGGACGGTGGGGAAGAGTTGAAGAATCTTTGAAAAAAAAAGTAGATAAAGCATGACAGGGAGAAAAGGTTTTATTTCTTCTAATGGACTATATCCATTAATTTGAAAAAGAGAGTCCTCTATAAGTATATCTAGCAATACATGAAGATCCAGTGAACTTTTGAATGTACAATTAAAGGCTGAAAAAAATTGAATAATTGATCATTTGAGTCGGTTCGGTTCTGTACAGGATGTTCCAAAAGTCTGGTAGAAAAGTAAATGCATATAACTCCACTATTTATCAAACTTCTTCGACTAATTTTTTTTTACATGATAGGTATCACTGTGAAGTTTTTATTCATACGGACGAACTTTACAAATACTATTCAAAGTTATCAGTTTCAACTGAAATACAAAAATCACTCTTTTTCCGATTTCAAAAAAAAACACTATGCAGTGTTTCTCTTTTAATGCTTCAGTTTCTTGTTTTTTTTGTGGCTTTTATACGGCGGTATCTTGCTCTATCGGTTATATTCATTTGTTTTGATATGCCATTGCATAAAGAAGCCCAATAGTGTCAAGTTCGATGACGATCAAGCTTATGAGATCGGTTCATCTCTTCTGGTTTCCCAAGCATCATTCGAAAAGTTAAAGCGATCTTATGGACGTCATGATCATCAGACTTGACCCCGTTAGGCTTCTTTCTGCAATGGCATATCAAAACAAATGAATATAACCGATAGAGCAAGATACCGCCGTATAAAAGCCACAAAAAAAAAGCAAGAAACTGAAGCATTGAAAGAGAAACACTGCATAGTGTTTTTTTTTGAAATCGGAAAAAGAGTGATTTTTGTATTTCAGTTGAAACTGATAACTTTGAATAGTATTTGTAAAGTTCGTCCGTATAAATAAAAACTTCCCAGTGATACCTATCATATAAAAAAAATTAGTCGAACAAGTTTAATAAATAATGGAGTTGTATGCATTTACTTTTCGACCGGACTTTTGGAACACCTTGTACAACGATCAGATGTCGCTCGTAACTCAGATATTATTTAACATTTTTTTATTGGTTTTAAGAGGTAAGGAAATTACAATGCAGTGTGATGATTCAATGAACAATCTTCATTCTTTGTTTTCTCTAAATTAGTCTACCATCAAATAAGGATGAATCATCGATTCATTATCAAATCATAAGCGTTATTGTGTTTTGATTGGTCGGTTTCTATCGATTATTTCTTGATATAGATATTTTTTGGAAAAAATTAAAAACACATTTTGATAGGGAAGAATTTCCTGTATCAACTAGTATAGATCAAAAGTTCGGCCTAATTAATTTTTTTAAAAACGTGTTGCACACAGCGCATTTGATATTGACCCATGTAAATACACATTTTTTTTCTGTTCTGCTTGCGTACTAAATATTCATTATTCGTTGGTGTTATTATATAAAAGAATTTTCGTTTATCAAGCACTACTACTTCAATTAGCATAACAAACTTCGCTTTCGCTAAACTCGGTTCGGTTGGAAATTTTTAAAAATTCCGTCACTTACGTTCGGTTCTGTTCGGAAAAACTGCCAACCGATCCCATCTCTGGTGTTATTACCTAAACCCAAATCCTTCAACAATTTAATCCTGCTAGTGCCATTTCTGATATTTATTGGCAAGACTCTGCATTATAGATTATGAATAAAATGCTCAAATCTCTATGTCTTCCAATCGATCGATAGCATATTATTACCATTAGACTTTTTAGCGGTTGCAACAATGTTAACTCCTTATCCTATTCTCAGAAATTTCAAGGTATTCCTAGTCCTGAGTAGAAAGCCTCTATCTTCAAAGATTCATGTGAAATTTTCTCACACTTCCTCAGCTTTGCACGCATGTAAACGTGCATATGATCTTGCTAGAGTCCTCTTAGGAACCTTCTTGGAAAGCGCTTTCCATAATTTAGCAAAAACCTTAAAATCATGTAATCAATACGATTCGTAAACCACGTTCAAAAGCATACTGAAAGATACATTCTGCATCCTAAGGACTAAAGTTCAAACAGAATCTTCTCTGTATCTTTTCAGTTTAGCAATCTAACAAAATTCTTTATTTTATGGCTTGAAATTATTTCTGCAGGTCATCGTATAAACTACGAATAAAATCCTTCGATCTCTATGCTTTCCTATCGAGTATAGCATTAGTCTTCTCAGTATTTCAGAAATGCTATGTCCCGAAAAAAACTTTTCAGAAACCTCAAAGATCTTGGTAAAAACTTAAACAAGCCCCTCAAAATATGGATTCTCATAAGAATTGTTACGAAGTTCTTTTTTGCATAGAAAATTAGGAAAAGATTTTACTTGTTTAGAGTATATTAGGGAAGAAACATTCTCGAAAGTTTTACCAACTCCCTTCGAAGAAGAATATCTTATTCATAGTCAACGACGATGACGATTTCTTTTCTTTTTCTCGTTCATTGTAGTGATTCCTAATATTCCAGCCAATGCCCGATGGGCACAGAATGGAGTGACTGTTGCTGGAGGCCATGGACTAGGCAATGCCACCAATCAACTGTACTGGCCTTTGGATCTCTTCGTTGATAATGATCAAACACTGGTCTTCGCTGACCACGACAATCATCGTATCATCCAATGGAAGATGGGTGATACGAATGGACAAGTAGTAGCTGGTGGTCATGACAAAGGAAATCGATTGGATCAATTGAATCATCCAAGCAATGTATTGATCGACAAAGAGACGGATAATCTCATTATTTGTGATGGAGGAAATCGACGAGTCGTACAATGGTCTCGTCGTAGTGGCACAACTCAAGGAGAAATCCTCATCGACAACATCTATTGTTGGGGATTAGCCATGGACGATCGGAGATATCTCTACATCTCTGACAGCTTCGAACATGAAGTAAGACGATATCGAATAGGAGACAAGAATGGAACTATTGCGGCTGGTGGCAATGGCAAAGGTGCTGGTCTCAATCAACTCAACTATCCGACCTACATCTTTGTCGATCAACAACAGGCTGTCTATGTGACAGACAAAGACAATCATCGTGTGATGAAATGGAATAAAGGTGCAAAAGAAGGAATTGCCGTCGCTGGGAATCAAGTCAATGGGGTTGCTCTGACACAGTTGTCGTATCCTCGACAACTGTTCGTCGATACACTGGGTACCATCTATGTGGCAGACTCTGGAAATCATCGAGTGATGCGTTGGCCTAAAGGATCGAAACAGGGCACTGTCATTGTTGGTGGAAATGGTGAAGGAGCAAAAGCAAATCAGTTGAACAGTCCCTGGGGTTTGTCCTTCGATCGACATGGCAATCTCTATGTCGCCGATCGGTCGAATAATCGTGTTCAGCGATTTTCTTTCGAATAGTCTCATAACGATGATTTTTTTTTCTTTCCTTTCTCTCAAATAAATCACGTCGAATTGATGAAAGGAATGACTATTCAATTCGCGCACGCGCGCGACCAGGAACCACCCTGGTGGAGCCGTGGCGAGCACGAAGCTCATGCACGCATGAGAGAGACTCAAATCATTCACATCGAAATGTGTCAAGGATTCTGGTGAAAACCCGGTCGTGTGGCACGGACATCAAGATAGTTCCTGGTCGGGTTTTTAGGGCCTACACTTTAAAAAAAAACCGTTCTCTCGAAAATCCAAAACCATTCAGAAACCCATTCGAAAACTCTCAGAGGTTTCCGAAAGGGTTTCTAGTCTCCTAGAGCGTTCACGAAAACACTTTCTTGATTTCCGAACGCTCGGAAACTGATCGATTTTCGAAAATACCGATTTGGACACCCTAAAAGTATTTTCAGATACCCTTATGGGGTATTCAAAATTCTAATTGGTATTTTCGGAAACCGAAAACGTATCTTAGGAAACCCATATAGTCGAAAAAGTTCATTTAGTATCCGAAGAGGTATTCGAAAACACCTTTTCGGTTTCCGAACTTTCTGAATCTCAAAAAGGTATAATAGGAAACCTAAATCGGTTTCCGAATTGTTTTTAATCCTGCGAACTTTTCCGGAGTTTCAATAAGCCCCAAAACAGTTACCACAAAAATTGAAGAATAATATTTGAAGAAAAATTTTCGAGATCCGGAAATCCGAATCTGTAAGTAGTATGCCGTAAAGCATCAAACTCAAAATTTTGAAAAACTGAGTACAGGTTCGATTTCCTCGACCCTGAAAACCTTTGATCAAACTTGATAGAAAATATCTAGCTTTGAAAAATAAGTCTTCTTTGAGGAAAATATGAAGTGCACAATTTTTGAAAACCGATTACAGATTCGAGTTCCTCGACCCCGAAAACCTTTGATCAAATTTTATAAAAAAATCGTTATTTTTGGAAAATAGGTCTTCTTTAAGGGGCCCTCTCCCTTAGAAAATCGAATTTTTCAAAAAATATCGAAGTTGCGTTTTTATCACAGAAAGATGCAGTGATGCTTCCTCTTTCAGAATATATATAGCTTTTTGGAAAATGACTAGATTTTCAAAGACTTATCACATAAAACTTTGACTCTACTACCATATTTTTGGAGATATTTCGTGATTTTTAAAGTTTTTCAATTTCAGAAAAACTGCGTTGCCACTTGCATTATCATTGCATACAACATTTTTATATTAAGCAGCATGTCAGATGTCGTTAGGTATCTTCATCTATTACGTACTCTAGAACGGTCCATTGGAATATATTAAAAATATTCCATTGTAATATGATTTGTTCTGGATTTGAATGAAAAAATCCATTTCTAAAACTTCTTTAGCGTTTTTCTCAGAACATAGTTTCCAATCAGAAAAATTGGAATTACTCCCTCCAGCTATAACCAATAATTTTTTTTGTTTTAAAGGTCTCAATGAGAGTAAATTTTTGTCCGAACGGATTTTTTATAGCTGATTCCTGGCCTGAGAAAAGTGAGTGTGGGTGTGGGGTGTGGGTGTGGGTGTGGGGTGTGGGTGGGTGTGGGTGTGGGTGGGTGTGGGTGTGTGGGGTGTGGGTGTGGGTGGGTGTGGGTGTGTGGGGTGTGGGTGTGTGCGGTGTGGGTGTGTGGGGTGTGGGTGTGGGTGTGGGTGTGGGTGTGGGGTGTGGGTGGGTGTGTGGGGTGTGGGTGTGGGTTTGGGTGTCGGTGTGAGTGTTTATCGTCTCTTCACCCACACACCCCATACCCACACCCATACCCACACCCACACCCACACACTCACACCCTGTCGTTGGACCACCATTTTTTATGCTGCTTTTTAGACCATGTCACCAAAAATGCTCATAAAAAATGAATGGGATTGAATTTCAAAATTCTGTTCGGAGAAAAGTTGCCCACTGACATTAGCTTTAATTTGAAACCGCCCAGAGCTCTATAGCACGTGTCGTGAGGAAGTTATATCGATTCCAAAAATGGGTCATGAATCAGCTGGAACTCCGGTCTAGTACGAGTTATAGGGCTGACATTTTTATCAGAAGCGTATCTCACCAGGATAAGTCATCCCTGAAAATTTCAGCTAAAATGTACTATCCCAAGTGGAAAATCGTTTCTGAGGGAGGGGCCCCTTAAGGAAAATACGAAGTACACAATTTTCGAAAACCAATTACAGATTCGAGTTCCTCGATTGAGTAGAGAAATGTCTACTGAATCGAATTGTGTAAAAATCATTCAATTATCTTGCAAAATAGCTGAGCAATTAGCGGTAGTTTGCGAGTGATTGAATTTGTTCGAATTAACACATTCGAGGCGATGTCGCCCACCGGTGGGCGACGCTATAATTTAATGAGAAACTGTATAGAAAAGCACTTTCTTTTGCTTTTTTCTTAAGCAGGAGGGTGTGGGTGTGGTGGGTATGGGTGTGGGTGTGTGGGTGTGGATGTGGTGGTTTGGATTTCCTTCACCCACAGCCACAGCCACAGCCACACCCCACACCCACACTCACACCCACCCCTATTATTCAGAAAATTGATTATCTGTGCCAAAATAAAATATTATACTGCATGCGTAGTACCTTATATCGACAAAATTTTTACGGTTAATTTTGACTAGAACCTTCTCATTTTAATAATCAATGAAATTGTCAATTATCTAGCAGATAAATCATATAGACGTGATCAGAAAACAAAGCAAAACGGGTAACTGACCGATTTCATTGACTTATAGTTTTTTTTCTTATCCCTGATGTTATGTTAGTCAAACCTTAGCAACATGAATGCCTTTGAATTCAAGACGAGAGTGAACTCTGTTGACAAAATATTCAAATGGATAAGCATCAAAAGAACGAGTAAAAGTATGTAAAGGCATACCTGATCAAAATTTGCACTCATTGCCTTCGAAATATTCCGTCATTGAGAATCTCTAAAGATCGATATTAATTTTTTTTTTCTTATTATTATTCTGTTAGAGAAAGAAAAGAAATCTCGTTTTTTTTCTGATATAATTTATGATAATTTTTTTTCGTACTATGAAGATGATATATGAATCGGTATTTCTTTTATATTTGATCTTAGTCGTCTATTTCAAGTAACATCAATTTTTTATTTTCAAACATTTTTTTCACTTCACACACATCTACAATGATAACATATCAACAAGGAAAAGTTGTTATTAATTTAGCTGGTGATGTTATGATTGGTAAAATTAAGTTTTTGTGTTTTTTTAGTTTCTTCATTAATTCTATTCAAGGTCGTTTAATTGATCAACTACTTCCAACTTCTGTTCATAATCCTGAAGAAGCAGCCATCGTCCGTCAATTTCGATTATCTCGAAGTTTACGTTATCCCTATTTACAAGAAGGTTTATATAATTATGCAACCGTTTGGGGAAATACAATTCCATTGTGGAAAATGGTAAAATATATTTTATTAGTATTTTCGAAAAGAATAATAAATATTATTTAATAGGGAAATTTGAATATTATTAATTTGGAAACATCTGCAACTACTCATGATAAACGTTGGCCTGGTAAAGCTTTCAAGTATGTTATTTATGTTGATATTATAACTTGAAAACTTTTTTGTTTTTAGTTATCGTACTCATCCTGCAAATATAGCATGTTTAACAGTGGCAAATATTCATCATGTTTCTCTTGTTAATAATCATTCTTTAGATTTTGGAGTACGAGGACTTGAAGAAACATGTGAAAGTTTAGAGAGATTTGGTATATCCTATGTTGGTTAGTCATTTTTTTTTTAATTTTGTATTTCGATAATTTTCTCGTTGTTCATAAATAGGTGCAGGTAAATCACGTGAACATGCTCTTGGTCCAGTTTTTCTTGATGTACCTATAACATTTTCACCAATTGATGTAAAACTACCGCCTATACCGATCAATGGAATGGCACCTCGTTCATTGACATCACTTAGAATTGGTTTACTTTCAGCATCTGATCATCCATTAGATTGGTTTTCTATTCCTTTATTTCATCTTCTTGCACATTATGATCTTCTATCAGTTTATGCTCAATTTAAACCTCTTATTACTACTGCTCGTTTGAATTCTGATTTCGTTATATTTTCTATTCATTGGGGTCCAAATTATCAATGGATACCAGATCAAAAAATTCAAGAACTTGCTCGATGGATGATATATCAAGGTGTTGATCTTATACATGGACATTCAAGTCATCATGTACAAGGTATTGAAATTATTCAACGTCAAAATGGTACTCATGGTTTAATATTATATGGTTGTGGTGATTTTCTTGATGATTATGCAATTGATCAATTATATCGAAATGATCTTAGTGCATTATTTCAATTACATCTATCAATATCACCATTACCTTCACAAGATGGAAGATCAAAATCAATTCGTCTTCAATCACTTTCAATTTTTCCAACACGATGTTCGAATTTTCAAGTTAATCGATTAAGTTTACAAGATGTTGATTGGACATGGATAAAAGAGAAACTCATTCAATTAAGTAATGTTGGTAGAAGAACATGGACAATTGGTCAAAACAATAATATACAACTTCTTATTGATACATATATGGATTGACTTTTTTACTCATTTATTTTTAATTGGAATTATAATTATACAGTAGGTGAAATAGCTGACCGTCGAATGGATTGCAAATGTGGTTCAGCTGAATGTAGTCATCATCGAGTTATCTAATCTTTGATTATAATTAAATAAAAAAAAACGAGAAGGACAAAATACGAATTTCAACATATATATATATATATGTTCATTATTTGATTTTTTCCTTCATAGATTTCTTAGATGGATTTATCAAAGGATAAATAATGTTTTTTTTTGAACAAAATAAAAATCTTAACTTTTGAAATAAATCTCTAAAAAGTCTTCTTAATCTTATAATTAGAGTGATTTATCTTGGTTTCAACATTTTAATAAAGAATTAAGTGACGAAACAGTATTAGCTTATTTTTATCAAGTAGGAAATCCACTTTATGATCGATTGAGTTCAAATGAATTCATTTTATTGAAATTTTTCTTTGTCTCTGATCGTTAAATGCAACTGGTATCAAATATAGACTTATAAACCGACAAGATCCTGTCTCGTATATATATATTATTCGAAAACATTTTCGTCAAGGACCAAATGAATGCATATAATCAAACAAAAAACAAAATGATTGTTAAACGGCATATTTGATATATTATGAAAAGTTCGAAAGAAATAATATAGATATTGTCCTCATGAAACATTTCTTCATATTAAAGAATATATGATGTCTCTGAAGTTACTCATTTTTCAAAAAATAGTTCATGATAACTAAGTCTTTAACTTTATACAGATAAATTAGCAGTATAACTGCGAAAAAGTCAAATTAACAATCAATTCAATTTTTATCTTATTCAAGACGAATGAGTCATTTTAGACCCATTCTGCATCTTCGCAGTGAAATGACTTGATCCAAATTTAACTATACCGTTGTCATAATTAGCACCTGCAGAAACTATTCCTATAGTTGTCTCAAGACCAAATATATTGAATGAGTCCTGAGAATAAAGGATTAAGCAAGATTTAGCATCACAATTTAATAACATTTCATTTTCAAGTCATGCCATGTGTTCAGAAAATCAAGAACGTGATAGATTATGCAAATAACAAATATGTCTTTGTCTTGTACAAAAGTGAACATGGAAATGTGACATTATTGTGACAGATAAGATTTTTCTTATCACATATTTTATTCAGTATGAGGAGAACTGAAGAAGTGATGCACCCATATAAGAGTTGAGATCAGTCTAGTTCGGTTGAACTTTTAAAACCAATCGGTTGTCACCGATTTCTCTGATCAATTTTAAGGGAATTGAAGCTAGTCTATTTTACTCTTTATCAAAATCCTAGCTCTAAGTTTTGAACTCATTCTTTCTCATAGTGCAATACGAACTACAAATCAGGGTGAATGTGTTGATTATGATCATGAAAAGCTAGCTAGTTGTAGCTCAATTGCTGAACTATACTTGTAAGCTTTCAGTACAAACTTCGAGAGTTATACTGGTTTCACATTGCATATATTCGTGAAACTTTAATAATAATCTAATTGCAAATGAAAGTTTATACCTTGATTCTAGATTATCGAAATTCAAATTTGTATTCTTTTTATTAAACACTATATAACAATGATCTTGAATATATACTAGTTTGTTATATTTGACAAATCAATTTTTAATCGATTGGTAAATATTCTATTTTTATTGGTTTGTCTTTTTTTTATTCATTTTATTGTTTAGTTAACTGCTTTTCATCACTTTGACAAAGCTTTCGATAAAAGTGATAATTCATGTGAAAGAAAATAATCTTAGAAAGAGCTACTTTTTATCCGTCATCAAGTTTTATCGAAAGATAAAGTTTTAACACATACTCAATGTGTTCGTTTCGATACAATTATTTCCCTAATTATGATGATCGTTTTCGACTATGAATACCATCTAGAACAACTACATAAATTGTAATACCTTCTTCAACAATGAAAAGAAAAATGTACACCATCTGATTCACAATTAAATACAAGTGGACGACCTTTGATCGAGGTTCAAAACTCAAAAATAGATTTACTTCTTTTTTTTCTCTATTGTTCTATGTTCCATATGAAAAGAAGTTCATAAATATGATTGAAGATTAATAAAGAATAAAATTCAAATGTTTAAACCTTTTTAATTTCATAGAAATTCTTCTGAACAGTTAAATGCAAAATATTAATTTTTACTCATAATTAAGTCTTGTAAGTTAGATAAATCTGTTTTGAAGAACGAATAAAAACTCATTCTTCAAACCTTAATACTTTCTAGACTTTATATTTATTTGTCTTCGAATTTAAATATTCAAGAAATCTTTTTTTTTCGTATCCTTTCTATATTACCTTCACCACTCATACGTATAATACTGACAACAATAGATATTACTGAAAAATCATCTTCATTTTTCCAGTCTTGATCGATATGATGGCGTTGTACCTGATCATCTTGAAGTAAAAAATGTTATACAAATATTTATAACAATAGCTGACCATGAACATGTGAAAGAACTACGAGAATTTTATCATACTATTTGCTTATGGTTCATCTATTGAGCGTAGTTTTAATATTCCTGGTGAGATAACATAAGAAAATGGTTTTTTTGTTAAGGATTTTGTGGATGATATGCTAGTAAAATGAAAAACAAAATATTTTTTAATTCATTATTAAAAAAAAACATTTTTGCAAACAGGTGTACCAGAAAATGCTCAATTTTGAGTACAACTTTTATCGTACCACAGATCCAACTATTATTATAGAAATGGGAAATATAGCATTTTGATTATGCTAATATTCTTCTTTCATCTATTGATGATTTAACAAAAACAGATATTACTGATATCGTAGTACTTGATACACTTGGTCAAAGTCGAATACGATATATGATACTTATTGGTCGATGTGGACTAATTCAAGTATTATCATTTACTATAAAAGAACTTCGTGAACTTACTAAACTAACGGGTTTACAATTAGTGTTAAATGATCAAAATATCATTAATAAATTAGAACGACCAAGAAAAAGATTAACCGAATTAATGTTTAAAATAGTTCGAATAAGTTTATATTTTTTGAAATTTATTATTATTGAACAATTTTTGATATTTATGATTTTGGCCTGTCTAAAACAATTCTGCAGCTAGTTGTGATTTTTCTGATGAAAATCTATCTATCCAACAAAATGGAACTAAAGAAACTATAGATTATTATGATATCCAAATAAGAATGAAGAGAATCTTGTTTTTTCCTCATCGAGTTCAAAAATTCAAATATTCAATAATCGGAAATGCAGTAGAGTGAGACGGATTATCTCTATAGAACAAAGTCTAGAAATGGACAAGATGATCCCAGTCCAAGTGACACTGCTACTGCTCATGTCTAGAGTAGCCATCATGGTAATGATCTGTTAGAAAACTTTAAATATATGAATATATAAAAAATTAGAAAAAAAAATTTTGGCAACAAGTTCTGTACCGTTGACATGTATCATAATATAATTATTCAACGTTATTATTAAAAATAAGATTTTGTTTATGTAATGTCGGATAATATCTTAAGCAGTTCTGAAATAAACAGTCCAATGAATTATAAAGAACAAGTACTTTTCTTTCTAATATAAAAATCTTACTACTCAATATTTGTGTTTCAGTTGATGTACTATATTCATCAGTACCACACATATATAAAGTATTGTAATTTTTCAACTGACAATACATTAAATTTAACACTAACAATAAAAAAAAAATGAATAAGAAATTCTTTGATTTTATTGAGCAAAAAAACATCAATTCAAACATTAGGTTTTGGTGTTTTATGAACAAAAAAAAATAATAATAAAGCTGCTAGCACATTTCATGTGGGAATAAATTGTGAAAACACAATGTAGCTACTGTTGTTAATTACAAGAAGATTGTTTTATTTAGTCTAATTTAGAAGAGATTTCTTCACTATTCCATTATTTGATGCTCTAGAAATGCAATAAGAAAGTACTTAACTAGATGGTATTGGAACAAAGTCTTTGATTATATATCAACAAAGCATGTCACTGTCTTTGATAAAACAGAGAGATGTACAGCTAAAAGGATTCTTCATCAAGATTAGCAGATCCGAAAGCTTCAATATAACCACTTGAATGAGGATTTTGTGGAAAATCAAGACGTTCAAAATCAAATTTCTCGTATCTATTCGAAGGTTTTGAGAAAAATTTTTTATTGGATAGAGTAAAATGACATGTCTTCAAACTCTTCATGAATTTCTTTCATGGAATTGCCTTTCGCGCTCTTCGTAAATCGAAAACAAGTTAACGCCCTATTTTTCTCTATCAAATAAAATTTTTTTCCGAAGATCTTAATCCATACAGTTCTGTTGAAGTCTTTGGATTTACTATCGCTTATAGAGAATTATTTCAGTTACACAAATTGTAAAAGTAAAGAAATCAAATGAAAAAAATTAAAGATAATATTCAATGAACTTACGTTCTTGAATGGATTGCATAAGTGGCGAAGAATCCAAATGATGAACAATTTTCATGAATAAATCCTAAAGAAAACAAAGAGATAAATGAATTTGGAATTGAAAAAAATATTGTTAAATTCTTTTGGAAAATAGATCATATCAATCAAAATAGAGCAAACAAACATCCAACTTTCAATAGAAATCCGTTAGTCCTATTCAAGTCACATGAAAAATCGACTTTCGAATTCAAATTTTCCATGAACATTAGATTAATTCTTTGGTCATGTTGTAACTTTTCTAGTTCTTTTTTTCTGTCCTGAAATATTGAATAATCGAAATTTTTCTTTATTAACGAATCTCATTAAGAACTTTGTTCACACAAAGTTTGAAGTAGAAATTCTATTTTCTAGATGATCTGAGGGGAACAACAGTTCTTCGTCAGTCAACTTTTCATATTCTCATCTAACGTTTGTGCTTCAATAGATGGAAAAATTTCTGATAAGATTTTTGTGTAAAAATTGATGTCTTTTTTTTAACATCTCAAATGAAAAGCAAGA